GCGGATGAGCCCCTGCGGAGCCGCCACTGCGGTTTCACAGAGGAGGAGTGGCTGTCGCGATGGCTGGACGAGTCGTCTGTCGTGTTGCACATGGGGCGTGGTGTATTTGAGCATCAACTTGAGCTCCTGCTGCGCACGACATCACGCACGCAGGGGACACAGTGCGAAGAGGAGAGCTGTGGAAAATCGCCGGCCCTGCAATGTTTTGTCTCCGTTGCCTGATGGACTTTTTCTTCATGAAGCCCCGTTGGTGTTGAGGGAAAAGATGGACAAATAAAATAAATGGAGAGGACAGTAGTTGGGTGGCCTTCTTTTTTTTTTTTTCTTTTTTCTTTTTGGGTGCTGCTGGAAATGGTGATGATGCGGCGTTTTTATTCTGCGAACGGTGTCACCGATTATTATTATTATTATTATTTTTTTCACTTCTTATATTCTGTTTATTTTTTTGATTTGCTGACGCCGCGGTAGGGTGTGCGCACGACACCCCGGCGCAGAGGGCTTTAACGTGTATGTGTAGGGACTTCTTTGGGAGGCATTACTCTGTAGAATATAAGACGTTGGAGACGTGTAGGCTTTCTTCATGCCAAAGGCGTTTAAAGTGAGGAATGAGGCATCCCGCATTGCTATTGTTGAGTTTCTTGTGGATAAACGTGTGCGCTTCTTAGAGTACCTGTGCTCCTTACATCAGGACGAAGTGCTATGGATGGGGACCGTGCGTCTCACACGATCGGATGTTGTGCGTTCTTTTCGAGGTTCTGGGAATTCTCACGGGGAATGGGGTGGCACCACTGAGTACCGCCTGCGTTCTACAGAATCCATTGATATGCAGACGTCTTCTGCATCTGGACACGAACATACAGAGGACGTTGTTGTTTCGGTAGGACCCGTTGCTGGCGTACCGTACACTGTACCTGCGTCTTGGCTGTCAACCCGCATGCCATGCTACGTCTGTCTTGCCATTTCACTTGCGGATATATTGCATATTCCACTTTCCGTGTTTGACTTTGTGGATTGTGTGTATGCCATGTTACTGGAGATGGATGTACGTTTTGCCTCTGGGGCCACTGCAAAGGCTCTTGCGCTGCGTAATTTACGTAGCCATCGACAACAACATCATTTTCAACAACACACAGCATTCTCAACAGAGTCCATGCCGTTTTTTGGCGGGGAGCATAGCAATAGTACCGGTAATACGAATAGTGGTGGGGTTATAATGGGGGCTGTGGGCGGTGGTTTTTTCACGATGGGCGCCTCCGATGTCGAAACCTCTGTCAAGTACCTTTATCTAAATCTTGAGCATCGTGCCTACATGACGCCGGCGGAAGTGCGTTACGAGGAAGTGATTATTCCCTTGTGCTCATTGCTTAAACTTACATACCGACGGCTGGGTGATTATGATGTGGCAAGGAATGAAGAAAGCGTGAAACGGATTTTGTCTATTGATCGCCGTTTACAACACATGTTTTTTTCTGCAATCAGTAAAGAATTGGGAAAAATTGCGCGTGGCAAGTTGTTGCAACAGACTTTGTTGTTGTCTACCAGTGGCCTCTTTCTCGGCCTTGGGGGGAGTACGCATGATAACACAACGGGCCTTCTGCGTGGCTTACTGGGGCTCTCTGCCGGCGCAGTTGTCCCTGCAATGGCGGCAGCTCGGAGCAGCACGACGAGTGGCAGTGTGAAACGTGGCATGCCAGACATGTTTCTAGTGGACTCGGAGGACGAGTTGGAGGAGGAAGAAGAGGAAGACGATGAAGTGTAAGCGTATCTACACATTTTATACAACATGTCTGGTGATATAAATAAATAAATATAAATAAATAAATATATATTCATCTTTGCTTTCAAACACAAAACGAATCGGCGGCATTCACATGCCCCGGTGGGGTAGAGGAGCCTTCAAGGAATTGTTTGCTTTTGTCCTCAATGTACCTTTTATTGACTTCTTTTCTTTCTCTCTCTTTTTTTTTTTTTTTCTTCTATTTATCAAAAATGGACTTAAAGAAGTCTCACTCTCTTTTTCTTTTTCCCGCTGTGTGTGTGTGCGTTTGTGAATATCGCTTGAATTTACTTTTGGTGCCCATTCCGCATCGAAATGGCACCCCCATTACTTGCGGTACGGCAGTTTACATTTCGTCATGAATTGCCATGCACGGAGGACCAAGTTGGCACCGGGAACTGTGAGGCCAATAAAAATTTAGAAGCCACGACGGCGATTCCGATTGCACGTGTCACTGTGCAGGTGTTGTCATTCAACCGCCGCTGCTTTTGGGTGCACCTCTCGGAGTCACGGGAGAGCAGCGATGCGCCGCCACCGCCGTTTGGTCCATGTGCGGTTGCCTTTGATGGGGTGGCGGCGGATGCCACTTCCTCCATTCTCATCGATGATGCCCCGCTGGCCGTACACGATCAAGATGGAGAGTCCGGGGCAGGGGCACCAAATCCGCATGTGGCTCTTGCACAAAGTCTTTCCCAGCGTCTTGCACATCGCCTGAAGAAGGAGTGTGCATCACCGGGTGTTGCCGTCTACGTCGCATGCGGATTTGCTGGGGAAAAGGTGGAACTGTGGGGTACACCCGCGGGGTCTTCCTTTGATGTCACGATGCGGTTTGGTGCCGCACTCTTTTCTTGTGTGTTGGAACTTATCCGTGAGGAGGTTTTGTCCAAATCAAAGGCATAATGTTTCCTTAACGAGTCTTGAGATGCAAAAAAACAGAAAAAAAAAAACAAAAAACAAAATAAAATAGGGAAGATAAGGAAGGAGGGACGACGTCTTATTATTCTTATCAACTTTTCCCTTTTTTTTTTTTTTTTTTCGGGGGAGAGAGACGCTGTTGTTTTGGCATGTGGTGGACAATTTGTTTGGATGTCGTGAATACGGCGAGGTCAAATGGTTTTTATTGGGCTTGCCGCTGTTATTTCTTTTTTGATTTCCAATTGGCAGAATGCCAATATATATGTATCTCTCTCTGTCTCTCTGTCTCTCTTTTTATGGATTTAATTGCGGTTGACATCTGGTGCCTGTTGGGGAGAGGGGAAGGGAGGGGGAGAATAGGAAGGAAGACATCTCTTTATTATTATTATTATTATTATTTTTGGTTGTTGTTGCTGCACGGAATGCCTGGGGGAGTTTACACAATTGCGGAGGTGGCAAAACATGCCGTAAAGAAGGACGGCTGGTTGATCATCAACAACGATGTCTACAACGTCTCTAAATTTTATGATGATCACCCGGGCGGCAGGGACGTGCTGTTGAATCTTATTGGCGCGGACGCCACGGATGCCTTTGAGGCGGTGCAGCACAGCGACGCTGCAAAGAGACTGCTGGCGGGCTTAAAGATTGGTACATTGGCGCAGGCGGATGCAAAGAAGTACATGCGGCTTAACGATGTCAAGGAGAGGCAGAGGAGGGCAACAGAGAAGACGGCATGTTGGCTGGTCATTGCAAACAAAGTCTACGACTTGACGTCATTTACGGAGCTTCATCCCGGCGGCCGCGAAGTGCTTCTCTGTGAGGCCGGAACCGACGCCACACTGGCGCATGAGAAAATTGGTCACAGTGAACAGGCAAAAGAAATGATGAAATCGTATGTGGTTGCAGAGTTACACCCCGATGACAGAGGATCCACCACAGCCACCGCGAAAGAGTCTCTGGAGAAAAATTCAAACTCGGTCTATACCCGCGCGAAGGATACATCCGTGCGTGATTTTGTTTTGGCTCAAATTCAATTGATGGTATTTCTTTTGTTGGGGATCGTGGCTGTTGGGTTTGCGCTGGTTTACGTTTGAAAAAAAAAAACAGATGTGCGTGCAGGTTTGAGGTGGGAAGGGGGAGGATTTGTTAATTGGTCGGGACCACATCCTCATTGAAGCATACATAAATACACATACACATACATAAATGATTACTATTATAATTATTTATGTTGTTATTTTTTATTTTATTTATTTATTTTTTATTTTTATTTGGACGAATCGATATATTTAATGCCTTTTTCCCCTCAGCCCCCACTCCCCTCACTTCGTACCTTTTATAAGTGCAAGAAAATTGGAGTGGATGAGGAGGAAGCATGAAAAATTATTATTATTATTATTATTATTATTATTGTGTCTGTGTGTGTGTGTGACAATGAATTGTTGTGATGGTTATTTATTTATTTTATTTTACTCTTTATTTTTTCTCTCACTCTCTCTCCTTCTCTGTCTGTCTGTCTGTCTGTCTGTCTGTGTGTGTGTGAGCTTCCTTCTTTTGAAAATATTTCCAACGCCTACCTCCAAAAAAAATATGCGAGAACAAAGTGCAAGGAGGCAACATGTCGCAATGAAGTAATATGTATATATATATATGTATGTATTATTGGTTTCTTTTATTTTTATTTTTATTCTTTTTTGATGTATTGAGGGTATTGACATGTGGGTTAGGGTTATGACTGCCACCTTTTTAAATATTTTTTTTTTTTTTTTTTTATGATCCCGTCAATTTTAGCAGATGACATGTGATTTTATTTTATTTTTTTTAATGGGTGTATGACTGTCCGTCACATGTTCAATTATAAATGTTGAAGGGATATTTTAGTTCTGTGCGTGGGTGGTGGTGGGGGGCGCGTATTGACGATACAAGTGGAGTTGAATTTAAACAAACAAACAAACAAACAAAAAAAAGGAATTTATTTTATTTTATTGATTGGATATGCGAGGAAAAAAAAAAAAAAAAAAAAGGGCCCCCCGCTCATTCCACGAGGGAGACGATTTGGATGGCGGGTGCCTTTTTTTTTTTTTTTTCTTTTCACTTTCTTCTCTTTTAATGCGGACACGAAGAATTGGTGACGAGGGGTGCAGAGTGCATCGAATGCATTTCGTTGGGGGTCGGATGGATGTTCATTGAGTGGCAACCGCCACCACCACCATTTTGTGTGAGGGATGGGGATGCGTGTGTCTTCTTCTTCCCGTTCCCTTTTTTTTTTTTGTGTGTGTGACGTCTCGCCATTCTGCTGTCATCTTCACATGTTGCTTTTTTTTTTTTTTTTTTTTTGTGCGTGTACGTGAAATTTCCCTTTTGGGCGTGCACGCATGCATCTACGCCGTCAAGATTTTACGTATTGGGCGCCTCTCGTATTTGCGTGACGGGGAACGAGAAGGAGAAAGCAGGCAGCGAGATAGAGGAGAGGGGGAGGGGATGCCAAAACGTTCACGTGCAAAAAAACGGGTGGGCCGGGATGCGAGGGCCAAGACGGAGCAGGTGAATGGCGCTTCAGAAGCGGTTGCCACGATCTGCAAGGTGGGTCTTGAAACGTACATTAGAAATTGGATGTCGGAGGCCGATGGCGCACGTCCCCCTCCACCGTCATCCCTGCCGTCCCTCACATCGCTCCCAACCATTCTTGACGTGATGATGGGCATGTCTTCTCCCTCGACTCCGGAAGAGGGGGCAATGAATGCCACGGGACCGGATGCCAAACAGAAGGAGGGTAGAATCGGGCGATCCGCGGAGGGAACAGGTGTCGTGTATGACGACGTGATGTTGCAGCACGAGTCAACAGACCCAACGGACTACGAGCGTCCTGGAAGACTGAAGCGCACTTTAGAACATCTGCGCGCCATTGGTTTGCTGCAATGTTGCCGTCGCATCTCTCGTCATGTGGCACGTACAAAAGAACTCCGTCTTGTGCATTCCATTGCCCATATTGATAGTGTGGACCAACTAGAGGTTGCGGCGCTATTGCGTCATCCAGAGACTTCCTATAGTGTTGGGCAAGATCTTTATGCAAACACCAGCACATCAAAGGCGGCTCGTATGGCGGTGGGGTGTGTCATAGCTGCGGCATTAAGTGTTGTCCGGGGTGAGGTAATGAATGCCTTTGCACTTGTACGCCCACCCGGGCATCACGCAGGTGTTAATGAGGCATCGGGGTTTTGTTTTTTCAATAATGTGGCGGTCGCTGTCAGGGTGGCACAGCAAGAGTTGCGACAGCAGGGAATATCCGCGCCTCGTGCGCTGGTGTTTGACTGGGATGTTCATCACTGCGACGGAACGGAGAGTATATTTTACGAAGACCCCTCCGTGGTTGTTGTCTCGATCCACCAGCACGGTACGGGTCGTGGCCATGTGTTGCGTAAAGCCCCTACTGTATTTACCGACACCATCGATTTGGGCGCACTGGCCGCGCTGATGGAAGAGACAACCGGGGAGGAGGCTACTAGCAACGGTGGCAATGGCCACAACGCATCTGTAGGGAGGGACGATTGGCATCAGCATCAAACAAAGGAGGAGGAGAAAGAGGAGGAGGAGGAGGAGGAGGCGGAGAATGCTGAGAAGGTGCAGCGGCAGAATCCGCAATTATCACCAGAGGAGGAGGGGGACGGGTGGAAGAGGGCAGCTCGTCGAAAGCCAGTGGATTACGTCAAACTGGCGGCTGACTTGGAAGAAGACGATGAAGCCATTGCTAGAATGTTTGGTATCTCACCAGAGGATTTAAAGAAGTCATCATCGTCCTTCTCGATGAGCAAAAGCAGTGACGGTGGTGGTGGTGGTGGTGGTGGTGGTAGTAGTGGTGGTAGTGGTAGCAGGAGCTCAATTTCCCACTTTTCCTCCGCCCGTCTTGTGCAGAAGAATCTTCCGGGAGACACGGAGGGACTTTCTTTTGATGAAGACATAGACAACGATAAAGATGGCAAATTTTATCCGGGGACAGGTCATGTTGAGCGCGTGGGTGGCGATACGAGGGCCGAGGCGCGTGGAAAAAACATAAACATACCGTGGCCTACCCTTGGCATGGGCGACCTTGAATACTTGCAGGTGTTTCTTGACATTGTGGCGCCTGTTGTGAGGGAATATGAGCCGCATATCGTATTTCTTAGCTGCGGCTTTGATAGTGCTGCGGGTGATTTACTGGGGTCTATGTGTGTATCACCGTCTGGGTATTATCTCCTAACAAAAGCAGTTTCTGCGCTCTGTCCACATCTTGTTGTTGCGCTTGAGGGCGGTTATAATCTGTCTAATGTTGCGCGTTGCTCGGAGGCCGTTATGCGAGCCCTGCTGGAGAGCAGCGGGACGGCGCCTTTGCCCCGCAGTAGGATGTTGTGGTGCCAGACAGAAGAGCTTGTGAAGCGGGTACGCCAAACACATGAGGGCTACTGGCGCTGCTTTTCCCACCCTGAATGAGGACGTTGACGCGTGCGCGTGTGTATGCCTCATTGAAGGAGAGTAAATTCTAATGGGATAACAGATTGCCCACAGCACGAATCGAAAAAAAAAAAAAAAAAGAAAAAAACAAACAAACAAACAACAACAATAAAAAAAAAAAAGGAATGAGAAGATCCATCAATAATGCAATGAAGATGAATAAGAAGAAGGAGAATGAAGAAAGAAGATTATTATTGACAAGAAGATGAACATCAAATAAGAAGGGCGAAAGGGAGGTTGATCCGATGGATGGCACTGCAAGGGTGCGAGAGGGAACAAGGAGACGGCAGATAAAAAGGGAGTTAGGGTTAGGGACGCCGATACATTTTGGGCGTTGAGTGTGCGTCTGTGCGTGCTATCATGTTTTTCTGTCGTGTTCCCTCTTTCTCCCTATGAACATATCTCTCTCTCTCTCTCTCTGTGTGTGTGTGTGTGTGTGTGGAAAGAAGAAAATAAGGCATGTCGTCTCAACTTGAATTGGACATCTCCGGACATCCCATACCGTCTGGTGCATTCTTGAACGATGATGATGATGATGGTGTTGCGTTCAATCGGTGAATATATGTATATAAGTGATGATAATAAAAATAATTCATTTTCTCATTCTTTTATGCCGTTTTATGGCCTTCTACACTTTTGATGTTTTTCTATTCCTTCCTTCTCCGGGTGTATGGGAGGCGGTACGTGTAAATGAATATAAAATATAAATGAATCGAGAGGGGGGAGCGGGGAGGGAAAGGAGAGTTTGATAGAGGAGAGAGGGGGTGGATGGGAGGAGGGGGGATAAATGCCTCCTTCTCTCTCCCTCCCTTCTCCCATCACATTTATAAAGCATATATATATATAGATATAAAAGAATAGATTGGGGAAGAGCGCAGGGCCATCCACGTGACGGATATTTTTTTTTTCTTTCCGTTTTTCTTTTTGTGCCACCGACTACGGTTTGGGCACCACCGCAGCGCATCTGTTTTCTGACGGGCGTTGCAATGTTTTTCGCCTCGCATGGTGGATGCGTTGCACGAGTCGGTGTCGTAGTGAGGTGGGTTTATATGACTTGGGCGAAGGGTCGGGCGTTCGCTGCGCTTGTGCAGCAAAAGATGGCGGCAGTGTCTGTTGTGGCTCTCGGTGCGTTTCTCTAAGACACCTCAGTGCGCTGCATGCGTCTGAAGGTGCGGCGTCACACACCAGCCCCACGAGAGTTTCTTCCCAGAGGAGCTTCGAGACCCCCCGCATCGTTTTTCCGTCGACCACCGCCACGGAACGGAAGGGGTGCAAGTGTGACGTGTCGTTGTCCGGTGACTTGGCGGACGCCATCACGGCGAGTCGCGCAGCGGCTGAAAGCAAACAGGAGTTGGCGGGAGTTTAGATGCATTTGTCCTGGACATTTCTTCCGCGACTTTGCTGTTGCTGCTGCTGCTGCTGCCCTCAGAAGGGCGCTAGCGAAAGAGACGCCATGTTGGCGTCGATGTCCGTGGACGGGCGGTTTTTTTTTTCTTCATGCGCCCCATGATGCTGGTGGAATTGCCGCTCGTGCCGATTTTGCACGCATTCGTTGCAACCACCGCCACCGATGACGGCTGGTGTCAATTCTGCAAGCGCTATCAGAGAGTAACCAACGGGTGAAACACACACACACACACAAAGCGGTTCAGTTTGCACTTAACAGGCCGTATTTGGAGGTGGGCGGTGTTTTGCGGCTGCTGCAGGAGAGGTGGAGGGAGGAGGAACGACTGAACGGCGTTTCTTTCCAAAGACGGGGTGTTGTGGAGCCGCCCACGGGGAGGGAATTCTGCCGCATTGCTTGCAACATTTGCTGTAAGCCGGCAAACTGCATAGCAGCTGCTCGCAATTGCTGTGACCCTGCATTGCGGTCTGCCAAGGGGCTGTGGCGAGAAGCGATTGGAGGCGCCCATGCACGATTTTTTTAATTTGCACAACAGTGCGTTGCTGACGACCCTGACGGAAGGATGCACGTGTGCATTTCCGTGGTTTCTCCCCACTCCATGGTCGTTTATTTATCGTATGTGTTGGATGTATGGCTATTTCATTCCTTCCCCCCCGCCCCTTCGTTACGCTTCATGTCATCTTATTACAGGTCATGCGTGTTGAAGAATGATTTTTTTTCTTTCCTTGATTTGATTTGCTTTTACCGCACACGGACTGCCAGTGTATTTGTCTGCGTGAGGAGTGCCGTTTTAGCCGATGTCTAGAGCGTTGCTGCGGCGGGATGGTCGTGGGCATCGAGAGATGCGTGGAAAGGAGCTGCGGACCTCCGAGCTTACGCAGTTTGACGGCTCTGCCTGGTATTCGCAGGGTCTCACCACAGTCGTTGCCGCCGTCAACGGACCCGTGGCGGCGCGGCAAGAGGACTATCGCAAATGCAATGTGCAAGTTTATGTCAATCGCGCCGTTCGCATACCGCGCGCCGGCGGGACAGATCGGCTCTGCGTGGAGGAACAACGTCTGGAGCAGCAGCGCATGGATGCAGAAGTGGAGATGTTTCTTACCGCTTCCATTCAAGCCGTGGTGCGACTGGATCAGTTCCCGCGCTGCGTGCTCGAAGTTCACGTCACCATTTTGGCGGACGATGGCGCCCTTCTTTCTGTGGCGACAAATGCACTCATGTGCGCGCTCCTGGATGCCGGTGTTCCCTGTCGCACGACAGTTGCCGCCGTAACCATCGTCGCATTTGCGCCGGAGGACGGTTCTCCAGTAACCGCTCCAACAACAACAACAACAAAGGCAGCACCGGAGGCATCTTCTTTGTTGTCGTCCTCTTTGCCGTTGGCGCTGTTGCTTGACCCAACACGTGTAGAGGAGGTGGGCGACGGGGTGCGCACATGCGCCACAGCCACATTTGTGCTTTCGAACTCCGTGGATGGCAGCAATAATAGCAGTGGTGGCGTGTTGGTGAGTCAGCTGCAGACGTGTCCGCGGTCTTCGATGCATGGCGGAAGAATGTCGTCCAAGGATCTTGTTGGCATGGTTGCATTGGCAGAACGAGCGGCTGTCTCAATATTTTCGTTTTTTCGCAAGTGCAACGTGCCTCTGGAATAACGAGTTGCAGCAGACACACAAGGGAATAAAGAGAGGGAGTGAAAGGCTTTAATATAAAACGGCGGAAGGCCTTACGCGTAAACACTGAGGAACAACTTCTGCCGGTATGCGTTCTGGCAGGAGACATGGCGATCCATCACAAATGGGTATTGCTGGGTGTTTTACTTTGCTTTGTTGAATCCATTACATTTCTTTTTATTCTGTTGACGCTACGTCTTGTTTTTTTTTTTTCTTTTGCGTGTGTGTGGGGGGGGGGGGGACTGCAAGAAGTGTGGTGGGCTTTTGTGACTAGCAGGCAATTCGTACCATACAGGCATATATATATAATATATAATATACGCACACACACGTATTATAAGAGAACATAAAGCAAAGCGGGGGAAAAAAAAAGAGCAAATAAAGAGGGCCAAATTATGACTTCTCAGGAGAGAAACCCCTCGACCGCGACTGCCGCTGCTGCTGCTGCTGCTGTAGTAGTAGTGAGTAATGATGGAGCGGTTTCAGCGGTGGAGAACGATGCCATTTCTTCTAAGGGCGAGTCCGTACAGGCGGGCCTCGCACGTAAGGCCCAAGTGTACGCCCAGCTCGCTCCGTCGGCCGAACCCCTTGTGTTGTGCGCATCGGAACAGACATTAGACAAAATGCATCAAGTTGAGGCCTACAACAACGGTGACAACAATGAGAATGACGGAAAAGACGACGCCGTCACAAAACACACTTCTTCTCACGTAGAGGAGGCGGAGAAATTGTATGCAAAGGCGGAGGCAAGTGTAGCAAAAGGTCTTTCCAGGTGTATTGATTGGCTCCACGCACGGGATCTCTTTCACGAGGCCGGCGCCCTTTTCGCCACCGGCGGGCATGCGGATGCAGCCGCCAAGGCGTTCCTACACGCAGGTGTCATCACACAAGCGTTTAAGAGTGAGAGTGAAACGATACTGATGCTCTCGCTTGCGGCAGATAATTTGCAAGTGGTGCAGCCGGCCATTGCCGTGGATGTGTTGAATTTTCTTTCCAACGCGTTTTCAAAGAGCGGTCTTGTCATTCAGGCAGCGCGTTGCAAGCGGGACGCGGCGGAATTGTTGGATTACCGCCTCGAGATGCCGGTCCAGGCGGTCCAAACGTATAAAGAGGCGATGCAGCTGTTTGGGGACCGCAACGTCACAAAGTCTTTCACCCGCGGTTGCATGGAGCGGATCTCCGCGCTGACTGTCCTTCAGTTAAAATTTGTCGAGGCATCGGAGTTGTACATGGAAGAGGCGAAAATGGTACAGCGGTTTCTCCCCAAGACGAGGCAATTTCTTTATTCACTACTGTGCTTGCTTGCCAATGGCTTTGGCAGTGATGATCGCTACTTTGATGCACTTTACTACACACGTAAGAAGTTTGATGCCCTGCAGGAGGAGGAGAGGCATTTTCAACAAGGGAAGGAGTACACCCTCATGCGTCAACTCATTGACGCCAATGACCACGGCTCACTCAATGAATTTGACATTGCTGTGTTTACATATAAATCATGTGCAACGTTTAAGCCTGATATTGTCTTTGACATACTCATTGAACGGTGCCGTTCCAACCTTTACGAACATATGGAGCAATACATGTAAAACGTCTTCCCTTCAAATTTTTTTTTTTTTTTCTGTGGTTTCTTTCTTTCTCTTTTTGTTTGTTTGTTGTGTGGGAGGGGGAAGAGGGAAGGGGGCCCTTTTCTTATATTGGATATATATATATGTATATAGGTGTATAGGTGTATAGATGTACATAGCGACAACTCGGCATGATTGTGATATCTTTTCTTTATTTTGTCGTTTTTTTTTAGTTTTTTTCTTTTTTTTTGAAATTATTATTTTGCGGCTCTTTTTTAAAATTTCTGAGTCCCTCTCGAGATCCATCGTTGGCCGGACATGCACAATATGTAGGCACAAGGACACCCCCTCCCCCACCTCCCTCTCCCTCCCTCTACCCCCCCTCCGCATATCCATCGCCCTTTTCTTTTGCCGATGTTCATCTGTGCATGTATGTAAATATAAGCAACTAACTGTCTTTCTCTGTTTTGGTGGATTTATTTGCATGCATCTTTGAGATGCTGTCAGTCTTTTTTTTTTTTTTTTTTCTGCTGTATGAATGTATCAATCATATATATATATATATATATATATTCCACACTGACAGAGATGTATGCACGCATGTTGTACCGCTGCTTGCTTTCTGCGGAGTGGTGGACGGATTTGCGTGAATGTTCCCTCTTTCTTTTCTTTTTTATTTTTGTTGTTGTGACACCACGAATACCATTTGCTTTCTTTGGAGAGCAGTGAATCTCTTTTGTGTGTGTGTGTTTGAGCGGATATTTACATGACTCACGGTGACACTAGCGTCTTTGTGCGGGCAACACAGCAAAAGAGGGATACATTTTTGCGTGGTGGTACTGCTAGCCAGCGGTTTCTGCAGCAATATCGCAAGTACCCTTACCCAGTGCGCATGGCAGGACTTTTTTTGCTTGGCTTTGTTCTTGGTGGTGTGATTGAGACATTTGCGTGCAAGACACACATGTACGAGAGTGTTATGGCGAAGAAAGACATGCGTCGACATGAATTTGATGAGTTTGTTGCCGACTTTCGGGAGAATATGGAGCGATGGCAGCGGCAGGATATGATGCAACGAC